ATCTTTCAGAGAGAGAGAGAGAGAGAGAGAGAGAGAGAGAGAGAGAGAGAGAGAGAGAATGAATGAGAGACTGGCCAGAGGTGAGGAGAGGAAGGATGGGGCAGGATCTGGCACAGCCACTTTCTGGTCCAGGAATAAAGCCAAGAATAATGTCAGGGTTAGAATTTGGAAGAGAAAGCCAAGAACACAAAGAGCAAAGTGCAGGTTCCAAGGACACCTCCAGGGACAGATTTCCCCAAGGGTAAAGCACAGGTAACAGGAGGGAGGGGCAAACAAGAGTCACCTGGCATGACTCTCCTAAGACTAGCTTCCCTGCCCAGGTGCTCCTACCCTCACCCACTGTCTCCAAATCCAACATTCGCCCTAGTGTGGCAACACTCTCCACCCAGATAACAGGTTTGATGTTGACTAAGACATTTTTTTCCAGTACTGAGAGGCAGACCTTCCAGTACTGATCAGCTTAGTGCTCTATTAAAGCAGCCCCCCCTCCCCCAAATCTCTTTAGAGGGACACAAACTGCCACCTGAAGGCAGCAAAGCACCGTGACAGTCACAAGCACAAATTCCTTTGCCAGGGTTGCCAGACTGGCTGGGTTCAAACCCCAGCTCTGCCAGCAAGTGACCTGAAGCGAATATATAATCTTTCTGTACTCAGTTTCCTCTTCTGTAAAATGCAGACTAATAATGCTACTGTAAAATTATAAGAAATACACACACACACACACACACACATACACACACACACACACACACTAGAGGCCCAGTGCACAAATTTGTGCATGGTGAGGTCCGGCCAGCCCCTATCGGGGCTGATTGGGGCTGGGCCAATCAGGAGGAGGATCCCGTGGGAGATTGGTAGGCCAGCCTGCTCCTAATTGGGCCAATCAGGACTGGGCTAGCTGGGGAGATTGACCAAGGGCGATTGGCCAATGGGCCTCACCCCCAATTGGTATGTGGGGGGGCCCGATCAGGGGCAGAGCTGGATAGGGGGAGGGGCCATGGACCAATTGGGGTGGTGGGGGCCCATTGGGGGTGGGGCCACCCAGGGGGAGGGGCTGCCAGAGGTTGACTGGCGAGCCCCGCCCCCTGATCTGTGGTTCGCTGGCAGCAGTGTCATGTCATAGTGACTGATTGTTCTGGTCTGGTCATTACAGTGTTCTGGTTGCTGGCTTTTTATATAAATAGATATTAAGCTATTTCTGTTCATATTTGGTCTTTGACCTTGGTTCCTGATACAGAGCTCCTAAAACCCTTGGGATTTCCTGGACAGTAAGAGCAGTTTCTGACCTACTGAGGTGACTCCTGGTGGGCTCCTTCCTACAGGAGGGCTGGTTACCCGAAAGACCAGCTAAGAAAAGAGGCTGAGTAGCAGTTTGAAGCTTTCAGCCCTACTTCCTATCCTTTGGAGGGAGGAGAGAGGCTGGACAATGAGTTAAGGATCCATCATGCCTATGTGATGAAGCATCCATAAAAATCCCTAACCTGTGGGATTTCGAGAGCTTCTGGGCTGGTGAACACAGCCACTTACTAGAAGAGTGACTCACCCCAAGTCCACAGAAGGTCCTGCACTTGGGACCTCTTCATCTGGCCACTCATCAGAGTCCTTTATCATATCCTTTATAATAAACTGGTAAACACAAGTGTTTCCCTGAGTTCTGTGAGCAAATTACTGAACCCAAGGAGGGATTGTGGGAACCCCAACTTATATCTGTTGGTAAAAAATAGATGCCAGTGACAGCCGGGGACTTGTTCCTGGCATGTGAAGTGAGAGCAGACGGGGCTGCTGAGCCCTTATCCTGTGGGATCTGATGCTAACCATTGTTGAAATGAAATTGAATTGTAGGACACCCAGCCGGTGTCAGGGAATTGGTTAACTCGGGGAGAAAAACTACACACCTGGGGCCAGAAGGACTGTGAGTGTGAGTAAGGAAAGGAGTAAAGGAAAACCGTGTGTTTAGCATCTATTCCAGAGGTTCCTCTGAGGAGTCAAAGAGTTAATGTAACCAAAGTGCCAAACGTGTCCCAGAAAGCATGGCTCGTGCTACGTAAATATTTGCCAGCGTGATTTGAAATGGGATGAGAGTAAAAGATATGGAAAAGATGTTTCCAAACTGAGGTAAGCAGGATAAGCCCAGCAAAGACCTTGTGACAAGGCGAGGATGTTTTTATGGAAACTGACAGAAGGAGAGGCACTGTTTTACATCCGTACATGCTTGCTTGGAGTGATCCCGAACAGCTCTCCTGTCTGGGTGTGTCTGCACGGAGGCCGTGCACAGAGCCTCCGAGCACTCGTGCAAAGAGAAACCGCGTGGATGAGCCACTGAGGGAGCCCTCGAGGAGAAGCAGGAAGCTCCCTCTGCCTCTTCTCAGAGATTGCATTCTCCCAGCTACGAAAAGGGGCTGACAAAAAGTGGCCCTGCCCCACGGGGGAGGTATGGAAGCTCTATAAACTGAAGCTCTGTACAGAGGGAACGTCTTTCTTTGTGATGTCTGCTCCTTTCCAGCGGCTCACGGGGAAACTGTGGGGTCTGACCACCTGGAGTCCTGCAGGGACGCTTTCTCAGTCCAGGCTGCCTCTGTAAATGCTCCCTTCGGAGAGGAACCTGCCTGACAGGGAGCCTGCCCTTCTGAGAAAGGCCACATGGCCTCCATGCCCACCACCCTCCAGCTTCCTGTTGCTCTCCCCCGGGAGTAGAAAGATACAGCCTGCAGGGCACCGCCCTCAGTGAAGGGTGACGGTGTGACCTCGGACAGAACTCTTACTCTTTCTGCTCCTCCGTTTCCATGACTCTGAATGGGAAGAATAGACCAGTGCCTTCGCTGCCATCATTGCAGGTCCAAATGGAGGGGCATTCTCATTGAGTCAAGCCCTGTGTGAATACCCCTCCCTGTTATAGCCATGCTGTAGTCTGTAAGATCCACCCTTTCCTTGGATTCCTACTTATCTCTCTTTTCATTTGAAACAAACACGTGCTTTGCATCAGAGGTGGGCCTGTGTTTTGTGTCAGAGCTAGCGGCAGCTCCTGTGCTGGCCAAGGTCATGGCCAAGACCCTGCAGGAGATCTGAGGCCCAAACTCCTTTTGGGACACTTTCACCAGAGTCTCTGGGATTTGCTCACATCAGATATGATTCTCCCTCAGCCCCAGGTGTGGTCTCTGCAGCACTCCCAGAGGGTGAGATCCTGTGGAACCTAGCTGAAGTCACCTTCAGGATATTCCCAGAATCCAACCCTATCTCAGCATCTGCCCCACTGCTGTCACGGTTTAAGCAATCACCACCTCTCACCTAGATTTCTACATGAACCTCCTAACTGGTCTCCCTGCTTTCACCCTGGCCCCTTCAGTCTGTTCTCAACACCACAGCCAGAAAGGCAGTTGAAAATGACAACCAAAGCACATTATTAATCTACTCAAGCTCTTCCCAAGACCCCCATCTTACAGAGTAAAAGCCACACGACTCACAGCTGCCTACAAAGCCCTTCTCTGCCATTCTCCCCTTCGCCTGTCTGCTGAAATTACCTGAGAACTATAAACAATGTGGATATTGAGTGCCACGTCTGGAAATGCTTACCTAATTAGTCTGGGTGAGCCTGGCCATCAGGAGTATTTTAAAGCTCCCAGGTGAGTCCAACACGCAGCCAAGGTGGAGAACCACTGCCTTCCTTGATCTGTTGCCCCTCCAACCCTGTCTCTACCTCCAGCCTTCTCGCATGCTCTGTTCCAGCCACATGAACTTCGTTCCTCTTCTTCAAACGTTCCAAGCACACTTCTGCCTCAGGACTTTTGCACTTGCTGGTCTCTCTGCCTAGAAAGTTTTTTCTCCAGGTATTCACATGACTTGCTTCTTCATCTCTAGGTCATTGCTCAGATGTCACCATCTCAGTGAGGCCTTCTCTGACCACCACTTCATTAAAACGTCAACCCCTTCTCCTATTCCAGCCTGGCCATGTCTCTCTTTCCCACTTCATGTTTCTCTGGAGCATTTACTGCCATCTAACGTGCCACCTAGATGACTTATTGGTTTTGTTTATTATATGTCTTCCCCCAACTAGAGGGCAAGGATTCCTGTCTATTTTTTTTCACTGCTCTATCTCTGTGCCTAGACTATGACGGCACACAGGAAGTGCTCAATAAACATCCTTTAAGTGAACATATACTCCTCTTCCCTAGTAGGTCCTCAGTGGCCCTTGCATCCCTAGAACCAGGCCAGGTTCTCTCTGAGCCAGGAAAAACCATACAACATTACACTGCACACAGCAGCTGCTCAATAAGTGGCCACAGAATTAAACCGAAGTCCCCTCCCCGAAAGAACACAGTCTCCAAACCCAGCAGCAAAATCTTTCCTAAATGCTCTAGATATAAGCTCACGGTCATTTGCAGCTTTAAGACCATTTTTTAAATGAGGAGGAAGAGGGGGAAAGAAGGTGTGAGGTGAGCTCACAGAAGTTAATGAGATTTTCTCAGCTGTGGTACGTGCCCACATTTTTAATAATTAGGAGCAATAAAAATTCTAACTGAACCTTAAAGGAACATCTTCTGTAACAAAGAGAGAAGTCAATATGGACTTCTCTGTCGGGTGTAATGACTTGTTAGCCCTGGAAGATGGATGTACTTTAAAGAAACTAATTTATAGAAAAACATAATTGTTCATAAAAATGCAACAATTGGATTAAATTTACTTATTAACAGGAATTTTTAATTCCTATTAAAAATTCAAATAAATCCCTGCTCCACTAGATGATTCTAGTGCCCTTACAAAGTAAATTAGGTGATTAACTCTCAAAATCTCAAATGGAAGGAAGTCTTTTCCCTGCTTAGCAGAAGGAGAAACTGAGGCTGAGGAAGGAGAAACGGGAGGGCGACTTGCCCAATGCTGGCCGAAAGGACAGACCCTGGCTGAAGCAGGGGAGGGACACCGGAGTCCATGCCCAGTCCTGGCTCTGTGCCAGTGAACCCGTCTCCCCACAGGTCAATGAGAGCCCAGCCACTGACTCTGCTCACCCACTGGGTCTGAGGTCTGGCAGGGGCCGGTCGAGGGGCAGGCGGTCACTGAGATAGGCGTTGTAGCCGTAGTACTGGAACTGCTTCAGGGCCATGCGCCGGCCTTCGGGGCTAAGCTCCTGGCCCCAGTGTGCAAACAGAGAGGAGTCTGTGAAGGGCTCAGCCTCGGCCTCCTCGGGCTTGGCGGGAGCCTCTGGAGAAAGAAGGGACAAGGAGACAGTGGGTCAGAGCGCACCCCTGCATATGCCATGACAACCCCTTTCCCTTCCTCATCCATTCTTTGGGTAAACTTTCTTAGCACCATCTTTGGGGGCAGAAAGAGGAGAGACTAGGGTCTTCATGTTTCATTGAACTCATTTATCCATCTATCCATTCGTTCATTCATCCATCCACCCAATATTCACTAGGCATGAGGGATATAGAAATATACCTACCAGGGTCTACTGGGAGGCTGATGGATACGACTCTGATGCCCCATGGCTTCAACCTGAAACCCCTCCTTTCCCAGTCTGCTTCCCCGCCCGAGATGTGGTCCCAGCACTACAATAGGTTTCTGCTTCTCTTTCCCCAGATTGTATTTCCCCCTTCCCTGCCAGCCCTAAGCCTGTCCCACACCGAGGTCCCCCAGCTGAGGGTCTGCTCCCTTGCCTGGTTCTTACCAGCCCATCTCCCTCTCCACTGTCTGGTCCTACTGTGAGTTGCCTGGCTCCCCACATGACATTCACCAATGACCCCCAGCCAGATTGCCTCCTGCTGCTTCCAGACTCTGCCCACCATCTGTGGCACCAGGGATGGCCAATCCACCCACACTCTGGCACTGCTCATGGGGCCCCTGGTAGACTTTGTGGGGGCAGTCCCCACACCAGGTCATGGTTTGCATGAAATATTCCAAGAACACAGAGGAGGCATTATTACCGATAAGAGCAGAGGTTTTGAATTCACATAGACACGGATTCAAACAAATCCCTGCTCCACCATTCACTCAGGGCCACAAGCAAACACTCAACCTCTCTATGCCTGGACTTCCCCACCTGTACTGCAGGAATAATAATACCCACCCATCTAGCGCTGAGATCTGTGAGGATGACATAAAATAATGAACCCAAAGCACTTAGATCAGCGCATACTCAGAATAAGTGGTAATAAAGGGTGCTATAGCAAGGGACACCTGGCAGCTCATTTACATTCCTCTTTCATGGGGGTAACAGGTAGGTCTTACCAGGACATAGGCTGATGGGTCAGAACTTTGACATTCATTCCAAGGGGCAGGTAGTCAGATTAAACCATTCAAGGTCAGAGATCAGAGAGACTGGACAGAGATGTCTTCTATGCTCAGAAGCATGATGTAAGAGAGAGAGAGAGAGAGAGAGAGAGAGAGAGAGAGAGAGAGAGAGAGCCAGAAGCTGGAATAAGACAGGCCAGGAAGAAGCAGCAAGTTAGGAACAGCAGAGGCAGACTGGGGACACTTGCCAATGTCCCCTCAGGTGTCCACATAGAGCCAGCAGGTGCATGGCACAACGATGCCAGGTAACTATGAAGTACAGACTGGAGATAGGCAACGGGCTAGGATTTCAGGGTCTTCAACGATGAGTGTCTCATCTTGGTTACCAGTGAGCCTTACAGAGAGAAACTCGGGCACATTAACTAGATTAGGACACATTACAGAGTAAAATGCAAACTATGGGTGCATTTCTATGTCAAAGCAAAAGTCCTTAGTGCGGTGGCTGCTCAAAGCTCCATCCCAGAAGTGAGGGAACCCCTGTTCTCCCCTAAGAGGCTTATCTGAAGAGAGGTATGGGGCCAGCATGATCTTAAAGGCCCTTGTTATCTCTAAAATGATGTATGACTCAGTCAGTTGGAATGGCGGGTAGTAAAAATCTAAATCAGTGAACCAATTGAATCATATAATATTTAACAGGAATGGAGTTTTACTGCTCTCACATACCTAAATGGATATTACCTACTAAAACGAGATCAGCTTATGGAAAAATTATGATTCTCAATTAGCCTGTGTTGTGTAATGTTGCATTATAAACACATTAAAGTCCTGAGTCCTATCCGGAGCTTCTACCTTTATACTTGAGTTTTTACCCAGCAAACTTGAAAGCAGTGGGTCCTGAATGATGATGTGGGGGCAAGAAAATGTATGTCTTATTCCCTGAGGTGGGTTGGCTCCCAGCAGAGGGAGTAGCTCTTTCAAGAGACTCAATACAACATATTAAAATAAATTAATAAGTAGTACCACATAGTGGTTAGTTAGTGGACATGAGGAATCCAATGATAAAAAGGTTAAATGACTAATCCAAGGTCACCTAGGTGTCTTGGATAAGAAAGGTCTGGCTTCCTCCAAACCCCACATTTTCCTCTCACCATGAGTGGCAAACTATGGTACAAGGGCCCTATCTGGCCCACACCTGTTTTATAAATAAAGCTTTATTAGAAGAGTCTCAGTGCTACAAGGGCAGAGTTGAGTAGGTACAACAGAGACCATCTGGCTTACAAAGTGGAAAATACTATCTGGGCCTTTAAGTGTGCTGTCCCCTGGTAAAGAGGCCTCTTAGGTAAAGAGGCCTTGCCTCTGCTAACTCCATCTCTTTTACTTTCCTTTCCAAGGACTGGTTAAGAGCACTGGCTACAGAAACAGAATTCTGGGGTTTGTACTCCAGCTTTACCATGTACTAGTTTAGTCTAGCTTATCTTACGCCTCTGTTTCCTCATCTGTAAAATGGGGTTGATAATAACAGCTCCTTCTTCCTAGATCATTTGTGCATATTCAAGAGATGGTGCCTGTAAGAAGCCCAGCATGGTGCCTGGAACATAATGTTAGCTCAATAAATATTGCTGCTAAGGCCCCATGAAGCCCCACCACCCCGCCCGGTGCTTTTCCACCAACACCTCCTGAGTTCAGATGGGGAAGATGGCACTGCCTTGAGGTCCTGACTCTGAAAGCTGCTGCTGCTGTCTAGTCCCCAGATGAATGATCTCTGTGTCCAAAGAGAATTGGCCTGCATTTAACCCATCCTAGATTGACCCCCTTCCCTCTCCAGTAAGAAATCAGACCTACTTGGCCATCAGCTAAACAGGACCATTTTTAACATGCTGAGGTGGTAAAGACACCTCAGGCAGGTCCGTAGGCTGGGTCCTCTGCATGCCAACAGGTGTCTGTGGTGAAGGGCCAGACCTCTGGATCTCTCTCCTCCTGGGAGTGGACTCTGGCTGTAGCCCCCTTCTGGGTTCAGACCTTTTTGGGCACACCTGACCAAAGATGACTCCAGAGAAGCATATATCCAGAGGGCTGAGGATTGTCCAAGGCAGAGGTCATTCATTGAGCAGGGCACAATGAACTCAGCTCAGAGCTGAGCCAAAGAATTTGGGGTATAATGGGGAGGCTGTCATCACAGCCCATTCTGCACCAGCCAGGCCCTTGTCTGGGTCCTAGGAACAAACAGACTGAGAGGGGAAAACTGAATGGCCATTTCCCCAGACAGCCATGCGTGGGTCTCAACTGGCAGGTGTAACACACAGGCAGAGAATTCCTCCTCCTACAACTCACCACGTGAGTGGACAGCAGGGGAGCCCCAGCAGGGCTGAGGAAACCCACAGGCTGGGGGAGACATCACCATGCCAGGCCCTTCTCTGTGAAGAACCCCCATCTGTCTCCCTTGACATGAAAGACAGAGTTTCTCCTAATGCTTTCAAGGCCCTGGGTGATGTGGACTCCAAGCCCACAGAGCTCACCCCCTCCCACAGCCCCCTTGGCGCATCTCACCTCAGTGCCTTTGGCGCTTCCCTCTTCCCTCTACACCTCGTGCTGACTCCCCTCATGTCTTTACTCCAAAGCCACTTGCCCTGCAAGGCCTTCCCCAAACATTCAACAGGCAGCCTCTCGCACCTGCCTATGTACTTTTCTATTAATCTTGCTGTTTCCCCAACTAGAAGGTGAGCTCCAGGAGGTCAGAGATTTGCTTTGTTCTCCCTGGACCCCCAGTGCTTACACAGCACCTGGCACCTGCTGGCAGCAGGTCATGGGGGGGAGGCGGGGGTGTCAGTAACTCTCCTGTCTGCTAGGGCCCCCTGAAACCCTCCAGAGGGCACTGCAGGGCACCAGTGCTGTGTCAGCGATGGGACCACGAAGCCAGGGAAGGTGTGGCCAGGACAAACACCTATCTAGTTCACATAAGCAGAGCCATCCAAGACGAACAGTATGGTTGTAGGAGCTTCTCAAGCCGTTCCATGGAATGTGATTAATGGTAGACAACCTCCATCCATCACTGTGCATGATCTGCTTTCCAGAAAGTTCTGCCAGTGCTCACATGAGGCATCTGGCCACAATATGGTCTCAGAGATATGCCCACCGTGCCTGACTCAGAGCTCACGAATGAGAGCTGAGAATTACCGTGCGGTGCGGGTCCTGACAGCCTCCAGGCTAATTTCTGGAGACAGGAGGGAAGTGGGGCAGGAAAGCAGCTCCCGAAGCTTTGAGCAATTAATGCAACAAAAGCAATTAATGCATCTCTAAGCGCTGCCCACGGGCTCATCAGCCAGGCCCAAGAAGCACATCTGGACGTCCTGCCAAGGCTTTTGAGGTTCCTGAAGCCACTGATGCAGAAAACGGGAAGGATACCTGTGTGAGGGTGGCTGCTTCAGTGAGCAGCCCAGATGAGGGCTCACCCGGCTGCTCTTGCTCCAGGGTCTTGGCGTTGCAGAGACTGTGTGATGGAGCAGATAGGAAATGGGTTTGGGAGTAAAGTAGACTCTGTAATGCTGCCTAGCCCTGTCCTCTTCCAACCGCCTGTCCTCTCCTGGACCGCGTTCCTGGAGATGCCCATCTTTGGAAGCTGACCCATTGCCAGCTCCTGCCATGCACTTCGGTGACAGCTCTGAGGTGCCGGTGGCTTTTGGAAGAGCTGCAGGGGAGGTTGTAGCCCAGATTTCTTCCTGAGCAAGAGGCCAGCCCCATCTCGGCTCCTTGGATTTTAGGATGAATCCTAAAAAGCGTTAGGAGGGTAACATTGCATGGTTGCTGCTGCAGGTCAATGTGGTTTGGGGCTCCCACCTCGGGGTGGGACAGAGGACTGGTCGAGCCCGGCCAAGGGGGCAGACAGAACCCACTGGGACCTGTCTGTCCAAGCCGGAACCCTGCACTCATGGGAAGTGGCAGCTCTGCTCTGGTCCCTCAGACCAGGGCCCTTC